CCCCAGGATTGCCCTCATTCCTTCATTTTGTAACACCTCGAGTCGTTGCAGTTGCGCCTTTGATAGGGTCAAGAGTCCGAGCCCGTACTCTACGACAGAGAATATCAGTGTCTGGTAGAGGATGACAAGGATTTTCTGGCTCATCTTAGCTCTGGCCATCATCTTAATTGTAACAACAGGCAGGTTTGATGGAAAGAGAGGTAGAGGCAGACAGAGGGAAAAGATACTGGACAAGATAACATGGCCAGGAGCAGCAAGAACAACAGACACCATTGCTGCAGCAACGCAAGACAGAGTGAAGTGGAGGACCATGATCGCCCACGCCAGTCGGCAAGGCACCGGATGATGATCATCATCTTAAGGGCTGTTAGGCCTTTTCTCGCCCTGGAGATTGTTCTTGTGATGTGATCTTTGCCAGAGAGGGTGCGATCAAACGTGATGCCCAAGTACTTCATTGTGGGTTCCCTCTTCAGCACTTTGCCTCCAATTCGAGATACTTGGCATGTCATCGTGCACTGCATGGTTATTCAGTGTACACCACAGTGCACAGGATTTGTCTGGGTGCAGTTTCCCCTTGTACGCCTTACACCACTGTTCAAGTTTGTCAAGTTCTTCCTGTACTCTCTCCACTGTGACCTGGCGGTTCTTGCCCTGCCTGTACACCAGCACATCATCAGCAAAACTGAGTACACGTCCGGGCCCCTCCAGCTGGTTGGAAGTAATCCCTATTGTATAAACGTTGAAAAGAACTGGCGAGAGTGCAGATCCCTGTGGTAAGCCTGGTGTGCAGATCCCTGTGGTAAGCCTGGTGTGCAGATCCCTGTGGTAAGCCTGGAGTGCAGATCCCTGTGGTAAGCCTGGTGTGATCTCGGTAGGTTGTGAAGCCCAGCAACCAACACGTAGGGCTACTTTTCGTTTGAGCTGCGCTGCCCCAATCCATTGTTCTAAATGTGGATCTACCTTCAGGTTGACAAGAGTCCTCATGAGGGTGTCGTACTGAACTCGGTTGTAGGCATCTTCCAGGTCAAGTGCTGCTACCAGTTTCCTCCCCCCGTTCGAAGCCATCATATACATCGGATGCAAGAGTGGCAGCATTCATCCATGTGATCTTTCCTCTTCTATAGCTGCCCAGTTCCGGTGGTAGGACGTTCTTTTTCTCCAGCTCTATTGCCAATCTGCGTGCCACGATTTTCTCCAGCAGCTTCCCGACGGTATTTTGTTTTTTGATTGGTCACTGGAAATGCATCTTTGAGAGGAGGTTTCTGACTGGTGTTTGGGTTACTGTGTATGTAATGTTTTGTATTGCTTAGGTAGACCTGGGCCTATGATGCGAAACACGCATGAACGCTGTAAAACACCGGAGGCTTATATAGGATTAAAGTCTAGTCAAGTAAACCATATCAGCTGCACTCAAAGAACTTATAACGTACTAGTTCTACGAATCACAAGAGAAAAGTTTCTCTGGATGTAGAGATCTATGATTCCTATGTCGTCCATGAATTTACGGTCGGGGGTGGTCGCTTGGAAAGCCAAGTGGTTGGTCCGTCTTCTCTAGATCTATGACTATCACCAACAGTTTCCTGTACTATCTGTTCCTGACAGTCTGTGGAGCATATCATTATATTGAGTCTGTCTTTCTTAACCCCCACCAATTCAACGCCTTTGTATTTTTAACTGCAGTCGCGGAATCCTTGACAAAACAGTCACGTGTCATCACATTATCGGCCAAAGTGACCCCCACCCCAAAGGGAGGTCACTAGAATATCAAGGCAATGAGAAGACTGTGTCCTTTCCTCTCTTTGCAAAGGTTAATATGAGCAGTATAGGAAAACAAAGAGAGTGATGCTTGATTTGTCTAAATCATGTGACCATTAGAAATGTAGGTATTGCTGATTTTGTCCTTTTCGGATTATACATGAAGAAGATTTTCTTTCTTCACCCTGTACTTATTGAAGCATATAAGTAAAAAAAAAAAAAAATGTTCAGTGACTTTGAAAAGAGGTGTTTTGTGGCTGTGTGCATTTTATATGTACAATTTCCAACAAATAAATGTAGAACACTTTTAAAAATATGTATCTATTGTAGAGTTGTACTGGTCATTTGTACGGTAAAGTTGCATTTTGATGGCACAAAAACTTCGTAAAAAATTACCTGAAATAAGTTGTAAGAAAAATTGTCACAACATTTTTAACAATAAACATATCAACCCAGTTTAAACTGTCTTATGATCGGGAAGGCAAGAGATTCCAAATGCAAGTATTTCAAAAACATATCAGAGAACTAGGAATCTTTCATTAAACTGCCTCGTTATAGTATACCTGTACTCAGAGAAATTCACTTTTGCCCTCAGCGCAACTTTTGACATTTTCGTGAATTAGCGAATTTGAAGCAATTTTCCTCAAAAGTTGGAAAAATAATAATATAATTTCGGTAAAAATAACCAAAATTTTCTTCCACAACTAAAAATAACGACTCGAAGGGGGACAATTCGTACCTGAAATAGATCTATCACTTCCTTTACACTACGGGGTGCCCAGTGCCAATGCCAGTGCCCGTTGCGGACAAGATCGGGTTGGGTCAGGTCAGGTCGGGATGATCGCCCGACTCGTCGCCTGAAAACGACGCGTTTGTTTTTTAGGCAACGAGTCGGGCGCGATCGATTTGTGCCACAATAGCCACTTTGTGCCATCAAACTGGCGAGTAAACCGACCCTCCCCCCCCCAATAGTCTTGTTTGGACTGAATCATCATCTACTTCTTCTAGCTAGATCTAGATCTAGAGTAAATCAATCCTAAACACGATCGTCTGATTACTTAGCGTGCTTGGTTCTATAGCATCAGTTAGATAGATCTAGTATAAAAATTTGTGAAAGACTTTAAATCTTAGGTTAGGAGGGTAGATCTAGACATGGATTGATTCATCCAGAAAACCCCCAAAGTGGACGTTCAAATATAACCTTACGCCTGGAAAGGGGGTTGACTCCTGAAAAAGAAAAGTGTAGGAAAGGGGAGGGTCTTAAGCCAATGTAATAATACACTTTTTAAGGTGAAAAGATCATAAGGAAAATAATTTATGACAACATAATTTTTTTTAAACATAACGTACGACAAAAAAAGGAGTTAACTCTACTACTATTCACTTAGAGCGGTAGGCACGGTATATTGTGACGAAACAGTAGGTCCTCGAGCAGTAAGCCCAAATATGCTATCTCACACTTGATTCACTGGTAGATATCTATGCTATATGACATGTAGATCTAGTCTAATTTTGATTACACCGGTGTGATTAAAGTGGTAAAATGACACCGTAAGTTTTTCCGGAAAAGTTCCGCTTGTACCGTATTTAATTATTATGTCACATGTGTGTATGCATGTTTTTCATGAATACTATTAAGTAAAAGTAAAGCACATAGAATTATGATTGTAAGACAGATTTGGGCAATATAAAAGCGAATAAAAATTAGTATTATGGGATTCGGGTGGGGGGGGGGGGGGGGGGAGGGGGAGATGGAAGAAAACAGTAGGGTGGGGGCAAAAGTCCCCCAAAAAGTGTAAGATTATATTTGAACAGCCCCAAACCACGCTGGTCACACCTGTCCAATGTCAGCGAGAGTTTAAGGATCTGACGTATGTGTCAGGGGACAAACTGCTTTTTACACCATGCAACCTCCATGCAGTTGGGTTTTTTGGGGGGTTTTTTGGTAGGCATTAACATTTAACATTTGATTTTGATCTAACAAAACTCACGTTGGTTACTTTGATTGCAATGAGCATACCAACAATGTATTCCAATAATTCCATGATATTTTCTAGCTATACACGTCTTGCAACTTTTCTTGCATCTTTTGTTGATTTTTCTTGCAACTTTTTGCAACTTTCGCTTCTTTTCAAATGCAACTTTCTCTGAGGACAGATATATTATCAGCGTTGAATAAACCTTTGAAACAGTTTAAGCTTGTGTGAAAAATATGCCTGCCTGTCTTAAATTTATCTGAAAAATTATACCCGAAGCAAGCAAAAAAATAAGAGAATTTCAACAGCCACAATCGGTGAAGTGCAATCAGTGAAGGGTGTCTGAAATCACAATATCAAGATGTTGTGCTATTGTTATGCAACCAGCTTCAGTTACTCTAAATCAGAAAAATATATGTCTTTCAGTGAGGACAAAGAAGGAGAAAATCCACCTATTACCGATTTATTAATCTCCCTTCAGTTAAAAAGTTCTATCCTTTCTACAACTCATGCATAGCCTTGCTGCTTCATTTAGAACTCTTTTATCCTTCAACTTTCATCATAAAAAGTAAAGAAAAATATTGAGGTATCTTTATATAATGGCACATAAAATGACTAAGCATACAAAAAGGTATTTGAATGTGACACACCATTCTTTTTCCACACTCAATATCAAAACCAGGACTGCAACACAATTTTTGGCTCAAGATCAAAAGTATTCTAATTAAGTAATTTTCATTACAGCACAACTAGTAATTAAGTATATCTCTGGAATCTGCATAGTCAGCGTCATTCCACAATCACATATAAGCTAATGTTGGTGGCTTTTTAAAAATAAAGCTATTAATCGAATAGAAGGACATCTAAAGACATCTCACTATGTAAAATAAAGTTTCTTTCTGTTTCATGATTTCCTTCCTAGTTTTTATTGAAAATAAAAAGTACCTTTGTCATGGTTCTTATTTGGGCGCTCTCTTTTGCTTTAATTTTCTCAAAACTTAAAAAAAAAATTACTTGGGCCCTCTCTTTTTCTTCAACTTTCTTTCAAAATGTAAAAAAAAAAAAATTTTATAAAATGACTTCAGTGCCATCTTTTTCTTTAATTTCTCTCAAAACTTTCTTTAAAAAAATGACTTGGGTGTTTGGGAAAGACACCGACGATATGGAAGAATCACCGCATGTATCGGTATATAAATATATATATATATATAATATATATATATATATATATCTATATATATATATATATATATATATATATATATATATAAAATATATATATATATATATAATATATTAGGTGCTTCTCTTCTACAACACCACCAGGGGAGTAAAAATATCATCACAGCCAGTGAACTACGGCCATCACAACAAGACCTTCCAGTTAAACTCGTGTAGCGGAGGTATAGGAGGCTGGCCAAGCGCCCACTTGCCCGTCTTGCTGTTTTCCACACAGCAACAGAAGCTGCAGTACGTGAAGCTGGACAAAATCTGGTGCATCTCTTGGGAATTTCTCGGAGATTTTCCAAGAAGACGGCGGGTGAACGTGTCAAGGCTCCCAGCATGGGCGACTATCAGAATGTCTCCACCTTGAAAAGAAAATAGCAACAACAATAATTGATTACACAGTGCTGCCTCTCTATAACGACATCGTCGGGACCATAAAAAAATGTCATTATAGAGAGTCAACCAAAAACGGGGGGAGGGGGATGGGTTAAGTACACAAAGAATGCAACAATACGACGTGTGGACCAGAGAATTTGATTAGTTCCCTTATTCACAAACATTTTTTCAAGCTACTCCGAGGTAGCCCATGCTTTCTCTCCTTTCTTTTTGAAGTTTGTTTATAAACAGAGACATCGTGATGATTTTTTAAAAATTAGCAATAAGAGATACTGATAGCGGGTCGATAGCGCTGTCTCTTAAACCCGACAATAGGCACTGAGGAGAGTGAATATCATGAATCATAGGTTGGCAAGTCAGGCCTTTTCAGTGGTAGGAAAGCAAGCGTTTTTAGTGGCTACGGGATTTCACTGGTCGGAAATCAAGCATTTTCATTGGACCAGAAATTTCGTCTTCACTGTCAATTTCAAGTTGCCGATTATCACTATATCCAAGTTGCTATACGGTTTTTATTAAAATTATGTCTTTAGAGTGAGTTTTTTATTACATAAAGGGCTTGAAATAGACCGCGGCAAATTGCCTTGGTGCCTTTGCAATTTGTTGTAATGGCCTTAAAATCAAAGGGTCGACCGCGGCAATTTTTACCGTGCCATTGTTTTTAGTTTTTTTAAAATGTGCCACCATGAAAAAAAATCAATATTTGTCCTGTGCTGTCACTTGTGGGAGAAAAAAGAAAAGCAAGTTATACAAGCGTCTTTTAGGGTTCGTCTGCATGATCGGTCAGTGAACCTGCACCTTTGCATCACAACTTAATCACAAGATACAGCATCGTGTGAGCACCGGTTGTTGGGGTCCCCAAAGTTCATTCGAAGTCTGAATGCTGCGAAGTATGGGATTCCGGAATGGGGGGAATTATTGATTTTAAACAAAATAATTTTAAGATACACTCGTAGGAGAAGAGAAGGGGGGGGGGGGTAAGAAGACATCCTGTCAGACTTTAGAAATCTCATCAAAGCTTCAGTCAGACACTGCTCAGCTTGACAATTGAGTCCATTTTGTCATGGCAAAGGCAAACACACTCACATCAATGATAACCAAACCTCAGCAGTCTGGCTGGCCCCGCGGAAAATTGCATTTTTGAAATAGAAAAATTGCAAAAAATTGCAAGGTAAAATGCCTAAAAATAGCAAAAAATTGCAACCTACCCATCCCAAGCGCATTAATACGGGCTAAACATTTTTAGTTTAAAAAACATGACAATTTGAGTACCGGTAGCATAAATGCAGAACAGCCTTTAAAAAAATCATGACCCACAATACAAATTTCATTAACAACATTTACTAATTACTAATAACAACACACGAGTACGTTAACAATAAAGTTATCGATCAAATATAATATAATACCGCGTGACCCAAAATAACGGAACCCTTGGTTTTCGTAATAACTTTTAAATGAAGGCATAAAATTTGACCAAATTCAGTACATACCGGGTACTTGGTTCATGCAAAGATCTACAACTAGAAGTGTAGTATGAGGTTTAGTATAAAAACCAAAAAAATTGATGGGAGATTCGAACAACCTCTAAATGCAAAATTAGCTTATGCCCCAATCAATTCAGATCCTCTTTTATTTTTCTCCTGAAACCTTCGATACACCGGTAATCTGTATTTAGATCTATTTCAGGTATTTTCTTTTTTAAAACCAGTATGGCATTGTTTTAACTCTAACTTAAAACCGGCCCGTGCATTTATTTGTCATCCGTACCGGCCCACTAAGGCCTAGTAAAACATGCAAAGCCAACATGTTTCTAAGCCTACATACTATTATTATGCTACTAGTTAGAGCACAGAAGCAGACGAAAACACACATGTTGTATTTGGGGGTGTTTGGCTGTGTGCATATGTGTGCGCGCGTATTTGTGTGTGTTTGGATGTGTGCATATGTGTGTGCGCGTATTTGTGTATGCATGCATGTATGTTATGTATGTATGTATGTTATGTATGTATGTATGTGTGTATGTATGCATATGTGTATGTGTGTATGTAGGTATGTAAGTATACAACATACATGTCGTACAAACAAATCAAAACAACATAATCACAAGAACTCAGCCCAGAGTATACCCAAGAGAGTAGATGCCTGCCAAGTTCTTTGCTTTTGGCGGCCACAGCATCAATGATGTCTTCATTGTCCTGTTTGGTCAAGATCTCCTTTTCCAATGACATCAGCATAAATGCCTCTAGATGTTCTGATGTCATTGTGCTTCGGAGACGGGTTTTGATTCTCTTCAGGGCAGTAGCTTCGTCTGTACAGAATTCATCATCCATTCGTCTGCATCGTCTTTGCTGTTTCAAGGGAAGCGACTCTTCCACGAACGAATCTGACCCACTCTCCTCCAGTGCATCATTTACCCACTGAACAAACTTTGCAGCTGCATTTTGAGAAGCTTCGGAGTCCGCCCTGAGGGCCTGCATGTTTGACAGCAACTCCGCCACCATCTTGTATACAGTCAAACGGTCCAATTGCACGGTTTGCACATACTTGGAAAGAGCTGTAGTGAGTGAAAATATTTGCAGATACACTTGCGCTGTGAGAACTGTTTCAAACTTAAGTAGAGCATCAATGTATCCTCTTACTTTAGCTTTAACGACTGCTTGGGTGTTGTCAGCAACAAGTATAGCGTTGAGGCTGGTGATCACTTCAACAAATAGAGCTTCGGGTGGATTGTTGAAAGAACCAAACACCTCCCTCAAGGCAGCATATTTTGACCACCATCTGGTCTCACCAATGGTTCCCAAACGCTTCATAGTTGAGTGCCTGCTCCAGATGTTCATCCATTGATAAGATTCCCGAAAGAACACTGCAATAGTGCAATGTCATTCATCAATGTAAATATATCGATGCAGTGTTCACTACAGCACTTGTGGCCTCCGAAACAACAAGGTTCAATACATGAGCGTGGCACCTAACATGGATCTGTATTGGAGCTTTGTTTGAAAGAAGAGTACTGAAACCTCTATAGTGTCACTGCATGTTTGCTGCACCGTCAGTTGCGTTCCCAATGCATTGTTCTGAGGTCAAGATTCAACCCTTGCATAACTTCTGAAACTATCTGCACAAAAGCTTCGCAGGTAGTATCTTCGCACTTCACTATGCTCACCAGTCTTTCTTGGATGTTGCCCAGTATTATCCACGTATCGAACGACAATGGAGCAGTGGTCCTGAGTTGCTATGCCCTGCGTTGTGTCAATTTCCACAGCAAACATGTCTGTTTTCTTCCGAAATGAAGCAACGGATCTTATCTCGAATAACCGTGATGGTAGAATTCACAGTAGTTTTGGACAAAAAAGTAACAAATGAGCCTCTGCCTTTTGAACTTCTCATTTTTTGTTTTGCTGTTATGGACTACGCGAGAGAGGTGATCAGCTGTGCATGAATCATATTTACGTAGCAACTTAACAATTTCCAGGAAAGTAACATGGTCAATTTCTGCATTGTCCAAAGTGTAGGCTGCCTCTTCCGTACTTCCTCTGTAGCTTAGTCCCTTCTTGCCTATGAGTTAAACTACATCCACAACTCGATTCATCACTTGCCATTTCTTTCTGACTTCATCACAGTAGTCCTTCGTCAACACGTAAGAAATGCTTGATTGTTTTTTTTTATCAACCAGGTATGCTGTTGAGCATTGCAGGTGCAAAGACGAACGTTCATGCTGTTCAATAGGAGAATGTACATGCCGCAAGTCTTTCATCCCCTCAAGAAATGTGGATGTGTCTGAAGTGGCAGAAAACACAAAGCAGACAGAACAGTGAAGTGCATGGGAGTCTTTGTTGTAAGACAGCCACCATTTGTCAGAACCGTCTTCACGAATGAAACATCTTTGCACCACTCGATTATCAGTCTTCTGACGTGGATGGTGATTCCAAAACAAGAACCTTTCTTTTTCTGTGCATGGTTTCTCATCTTCACTTCCTGCGGCTTCAAGTTCAGTATGTGCAGTCTGTTCTGTGCTAGCCAGGGCAAAGCTTCCCTTTCACTTGGTTTAATTTCTCTCATTTCACCCGATGAGGGTCCAGCAACTAATTCACCGCTTTTGTCCTCCTCGTCAAGTTCCGTTGCTTAGCCTGCTGATAGATCAGCAGCAGCTGCCAATCCACTACTTTCGTCCACTTGGTCAAAATCCGTTGTTTCAACTGCTGTAGGTCCGCTGCATGTGACACCTTACTCCAGCAGCCAAGTAGGCAATTAGAAAAAAATTGTACGTTTTAAAACATTATTTTTTTCGAGATTACAAGTAGATTAAACATTGCAGAAAAAAGGAGTACTGGTGTTATAAACACAGTAACCTGATGACAATTTTTTTTAACCAAGCGGCCCACTTTGTCCTTTAAGCACCGGCACACTTTGTCCCTTCGACACCGGCCCAGGGGGCATTGCCCAAATGCCCATAGGCCAGTCCGCCCCTGACTCTAAGTCAAATCGTAAAATACAGCAATTTTTTTCCCCATTTATTAGTAATAATAATGTAGATCATTTCTATACCGACCACTCCCGCGCGAACGCAGCTTAAGGCGTTTTACTACATCAATTTTAGTGAGGGAGTATCTACGTACACGGTAAAAGGGCACCTAGCCTCAGTATCTACATACACGGTAACCGGCAACCGGGCACGTAGTCTCAGTGTCACATACTCGGTAATCGGGCAGTTCAGAACTCCAAGTTCAGTTTTTGTCATCTGGTGTTGCCTTCAACCCCAGCCATCTCCCGAACTGTACCTTTTAAAAAAATCAATAATCCCCCCGTTCCGGAGCCCTATACTTTGCAGCGCACAGACTTTGAATGAACTTTGGTGACCCCAACTGGTACTCACAATGTGATGCGAAAGCACAGGTTCACTGACCGGTCACGATGGTGAGCCCGACAAGACGCTTGTACAATGACTTTCTTTTTTTTTTTCAACAAA